TATATATATATATATATATATATATATATATATATATATATATATAAAATTTCCCTGTCACAATGTTAGTTTCCGTACTCCTCCGAAACGGCTTTACCGATTTTTACCAAATTTTGTATGCGTATTCAGCAGGTCTGAGAATCGGCTACTATCTAATTTTCATCTAAATTTTTTTTTAAGAAAATAAACATTTATTTTGATCATTTAAGTTTAATCCTGATATATGCTTAGTGTTACCAATCTTAGATTCTTAAAATTTGCCGAGCCTTTACTGGTGAGTGAAATGCCAAACTATACCATAGACTGAAGCCGGTCTCCTCTTTCACTCCCACAATAAGACTTCTCTCACTCCCTAAACAGTTTTCGGCCATCATTATTGTTGATGTATCAAGTGTAGCAGTAACATTTACAATTATCATATTGCTATCTCAGTGTAACTCTCATATTAACTATTAATTATTACTATTTTATTCATAATATTAAAATTGTTAATTTTAAGTGTATTTTGCACAATTAGTTCAGTTAATCAAGTTTTAGTTAAACAAGTGATTTACATAACTTTAAAATTACTCAACACGTGTCACGAGCTCCAACCAACAACGGCTTTTGTGTTGTAAGTATACTTTTTTTATATAATTATTTGAATTTTTTACAACTATTGTTTCAAATTTTTTTTCATAAAACTAAGATTTTCGCTATAATCCCGGCCGTAATTATAACTATAATGTTTTCTATTATTAAGTAATTTCATTAATTCTTTTTATTTGGGTTTTTTTTACAGTCAGCAATGCCAAGAAAACGCAAAGGGGCTGATTTGAGCCGTAATACAAGTAGGTCCAGAAGTATGAGAGATAAAAGATCCAAACGAACCGAAGAACTAGTCCAGCAACAAAATGCTGATGCACGTGTGAGCATGCAGCAATTGTGTCAAGAACAATCAGAAGATACACGAGCTGAGCAAAATGAAGTTATACGTTTAGAACAAGGACAATCACGCCGTTTTATGGTTAATAGACGCAGAACAAATGACCAACAACGCCAACAGGTACAACGTGCATTTACATATGATTCATTTTTGAGTCTAGCAGTCCAGTATGAGTCCGATTTTGAATATTATGCTCATTCACAAGTGGTAATTGGTGCTATAGACAAGGAACGTCCGCATTGTCATGCTCTCGAATTCAAAAATGAGCCACCTGGGATGTGTTGCGCGTCAGGAAAAGTGCAACTACCTGAAATTGAAACACCACCTGAACCATTAAACGGTTTAGTTATTGGCACGGATCCAGATTCTAACGTATTCCTGAAGTCGATTCGAACATTCAATTCATGCTTTCAAATGACATCGTTTGGAGCAACAGAAATAGTTCGAAATACTAATGCTAATGGTCAACAATACAACTCTATATTCAAAATCAGAGGCCAAGTTTATCATAAAATGGGCTCATTGCTGCCAACGCCAAACGAACTACATAAATTTTTACAAATCTACTTCATGAGCGGCGAGGATTCCGGAAGCGCACTTGCCAATCGCGTAAATGCACGTTGTGACTATAATAACCTTGATTCATTTTTTGCCAGGCACATCGTTAGCGACTTGGACGTTCTATTGACCGAGCACAATGAATTGTTGAAAATATTAAAATCACACATGCACAAATTACAAAGCGATAATCGCGCTATTGTCATTAATCCTGATAAAACACCAGCTGGAGAACATATTCGTAGATTCAATGTACCTGTTGTAGAAGACGTTGCTGGAATCACGGTTGGCGATCGTACAGGTACACGAGAAATCGTGATTCGTAGACGAAATAATAAACTTCAGTTCATTGCTGATACACATCGTTCATATGACGCTCTCCAATATCCGCTAATATTCTGGAAGGGGCAAGACGGATATTGCATGTACATAAAACAACGAGATCCCGTATCAGGTACTTGATCATTAACCATTTAACAAAACAATTAAATTATTGAACGGAATTAATTTAAATTAATATTCATAAATATATTATTACAGGAGCTGAAACAAACGAGAACGTTAGCGCAAAAGATTATTATGCATACCGATAAATGATTTGGCGCGGCCTAGACAACGTCATTCCACGATGTCGTAAGCTTTGTCAACAATTCATAGTTGACACGTACGCGAAGATAGAGGGTGAACGACTGCGATACTTACGATATAATCAACTCAAGCTGCGTGCGGAAGAGTACATTCACTTACGAGACGCTATTAACAACAACGCCGACGTCGCCGAAATTGGTAACTCTGTTATTTTACCATCATCGTACGTAGGCAGTCCACGTCACATGCAAGAATATATACAGGATGCTATGGCTTATGTGTGCGAATATGGACGACCGTGTTTATTTATCACGTTCACGTGTAATCCAAAATGGCCAGAAATTACATCTTTGCTATTGCCTGGCAAAAATGCAGTACATTGACATTGACAATCGTTGGGTGGTGCCGTATTCGCCTCTGCTAAGCAAGACATACAATGCTCATATTAATGTTGAGTTTTGCAGTTCTGTGAAGAGCATCAAATATATTTGCAAGTATGTCCATAAAGGCAGTGATATGGCTGTGTTCAGAGTAGAAAATACTGATGTAAATGCTCCTCTAATGAATATAAACGATGAAATTACGCTCTACCAAATTGGTCGGTACATCAGCTCCAATGAAGCTGCTTGGCGTATCTTCGGGTTTCCAATTCATAAACGGGATCCAGCAGTTGTTCAGTTAGCTGCCCATCTTGAAAACGGTCAGCGTGTATTTTTCACGAACGAGACAGTGATTGATCGTGCTACAAATCCACCTAAAACTACACTCACTGCATTTTTTGAATTGTGTCATAGTACGGATGATTTTGGTGCCTTTGCAAGAACGTTACTCTACTCACAAGTACCACACTATTTCACATGGGCTCAAACAAAAAAATGGATGCCCCGCAAGCAAGGCTCACCAGTTGATGCATGTCTCAATTTATTTAAATCGAACGCTTTGGGGCGATTATTTACAGTCAATCCAAGACACACTGAGTGCTTTTATCTTCGACTGTTGTTGGTTAATGTTACTGGCCCATTATCATTTCAAGATATACGTAAAGTGAATGGGTAACAGTATCCAACATATAAAGACACATGCCTTGCACTTGGCTTGCTGAAAGACGACAAACAGTGGGAGTTGATGCTTGCTGAAGTTGCATTGAACTGTACAGCAATACAAATTCGTCTACTATTCGCTATAGTGTTGACTACATGTTTCCCAGCTCGGGCACAGATATTGTGGGATAATCACAAAGATTCAATGACTGATGATATATTGCATCAACATCGTATACGGTGCAACGATCTAACGATAACATTCAGCGACGCTATGTACAATGAAGCATTGATTGCAATTGAGGATCTTTGTATTGTCATTACCAACTTATCACTCACTCATTTCGGTATGAATTCGCCAAATCGAACTGCATCGGATTTAATTAACACTGAAATGAATCGTGAACTGCAGTACAACACTGTAGAAATGGCAGCGATTATTACTCGCAATGTCCCACTAATGAATGACGAACAAAGAACCATTTATGACCGCATTTTGTTCGCAATTTCAGTAGGACAAGGTGGATTCTTCTTTTTGGATGCGACGGGTAGAACTGGCAAAACATTCCTTATTTCACTAATTCTTGCTGAAATACGATCAAATAATGGCATCGCATTGGCCGTTGCATCATCGGGCATTGCGGCAACTTTATTGGATAGAGGCAGAACAGCTCATTCAGTATTTAAGCTGCCACTAAATATTCAAAGTAACCCTGACGCAGGGTGTAACATTAAAAAACAATCGTTCATGACAACCGTGTTGAAACAGTGTAAAATTATCATCTGGGATGAATGTACTATGGCACACAAACATTCAATTGAGGCGTTGAACAGGACATTGAAAGATATTAAAAACAACGACAAACTATTTGGCGGCACTCTGTTGGTGCTTTTAGGTGATTTCAGACAAACACTTCCCGTCATTACACAATCAACATACGCTGATGAGATCGACGCTTGCTTAAAATCATCTCCATTGTGGCGTAATGTTGAAAAAGTACAGCTTAAAGTAAATATGCGCGTTCAAATGCTTCAAGATCCATCCGCTGAAACATTCTTAAAAAATATCTTAAATATCGGTGATGGAAAAATTGCTACAGATGAAACTGGATACGTAAAATTACCGACCGATTTCTGCACCATCGCTGATTCGCAAGATACTCTCATTGAACAAATATTTCCCGATGTACACACGCAGCACATAAATCATGAGTGGCTTGCAGAAAGAGCTATTTTAGCAGCAAAAAATGCAGACGTTGACAATTTAAATTTGAAGATACAACAGTTGCTGCCAGGGAACTTGGTATCATACATATCTATTGATACAGTTTGCGATGCCAGCGAAGCTGTCAATGTTCCCACAGAATTTTTGAACTCACTGGATTTGCCAGGCATGCCACCGTATAATTTACGATTGAAGGTTGGATCTCCAATTATCTTGCTTCGTCATTTAAACCCGCCACGGCTGTGCAACGATACGCGATTAGTCATTCGAAAATTGATGAAAAACATTATCGAAGCCAGAATTTTAAATGGCAAGTTCAAAGGTGAAAATATATTAATATTACGAATTCCTATCATACCTACAGATGTGCCAATTCAATTCAAACGTATTCAGTTTCCGATTAGATTGGCATTTGCAATGACAATCAACAAATCCCAAGGCCAAACGATGTCTATTTGTGGCTTAAATTTGAGTGCACCATGGGCATTTGTACGTAGCATGCTCTCGAGTGGGTAAACCATCCAGTCTGTTTGTGCTCGCTAAAGATGGTCTAACAAAAAATATTGTTTACGCTATAGCATTAAAAGATTGATGTTATTTGTTATTGTTACTGGTGTTATTGATATGTGATATGTAATTTTAAGAAATAAACTATAATAACTTGAAATTTATATTGTTTGGTGTTTGTTATTTTTATATATTCTTATCGTTCATAGCACTCCATGTCTATTTCACGCATATACCACATACTTATACACTTATAATAAGTAAGACATTTTTTGTCTACACTAGAATTTATCTAGAATCTAGGAAATTTAATGTTCTATAATAATTTTTATTTTTTTATTTGAAATTAAATTTTACTTAAAACGACAAAATTTTATCTTCAGAAATTTCCGGACCATTGCTAAGGTCATAAATTACTTTTAAGTTTAAGTTTTTTTTAATCTCGGATTTCAAAAGGTTCTTTAATTTTTTTTTATATTATCCAGATGCATTTTCTCTTTTTCTTAGAACTATAAAAATAAAATAATCTCGAGAAAAACCTCTTTAGGAAATGCATCTGACCTAAGCCTAAGCCTACCAGAGCAATAAAATAAGAGACCCATAAAAAGGGACTAAATTTTATGACCTTTTGAAATTCTATATCTTATTATAAGCAGATGTGTTTAAGATAACAAAACTTATTTTTAATATCCTTCGTTCTATTCTTGACAAACATTTTAGTTCAACAATCTTTTATTAAACAAGCATCTTATAAAAAATTTTTATTATGTACCGACATTATTTCATCTAAAAATTATTATCGGCATCAGAATTATTTTTTTTTTGTGATCAACTAATTTTTTTTTAAATTTTCCGACACATAAATTATTTAAAAGATAAAATTTAACATTTAGAGAGAATAAATAAAATCCTCTAAAAGGAAACGTTTGTCAATATAAATATAATAAAATAATGAGTTTTTATATGTAACGGTACTGGTCACAAAACTTAACATTATCGAAGTCAAATCAAAAATTATCAAAGTCAAATTAAAATCATCAAAATCAAATTTAGAGTCAACTATATTCTCGATGATTATTATATGCAAATAACCTCACAACTTATCGTTGTAAAATTGCAATAAATGAGGGAACTTTTAAAATACTACTAGCTAATGAGATATCAATTACGAATAAACGCGTGTATTTTGACCACGTATTAAATATTTAAAGTCTTCTCAAGCATCAACACTTTCGCATTACTATTTTCAGTTTAGAAATTAATAAAAATAATTTGACAAAATATCTAAAAGATTTATTGAATAATTTTTAAATAACAAAACGTGGACTTTCGCAAAGGGCAGAAAACGCATGAACCTCTCTCAACACCCCATCAACAATAAGATTTAAGCTGTGAGCCATACAAGGAATCCTATAGTCATTTCCTAGAAATAAGCATACCGCTGCCACCATATTTGCGCCACCATCAGTGCTGATAGACACAATTTTACTCTTGTCAATTTCAAACTCTTTACAGATGCCATCCCAAATTTCTTTAATATACTCCGCTGTATGACTCTAAAAAAGATGTATATATAAATACAAGATGTATATTTATAAATTATATTTATTTATTATAGCAAATATAACTACCAATCAAAACATACTTAAGACAATTTCTGCGCACACAGATTTATACTCTGAAGAGAGGTCGAATTGTTCCCCTTTGTATTGTCAATAAAGTGGACCGTCAACACTAAGAAACTTCTGGTAGAATTGGTGATTGTGAGTATGTCACTTGTGAAAGATACGAAATCTGCTTCGTCTATTCTTTTAATAAGAATCGATTTCGTAGTATTATATCGGTTCTCTATTAAGCTAGTCACCTGAAATTAAGAACATGGTTATCGAACTACAATTTTAATTAAAATGTATGATAAAATGGGCTGGAATACCGTTTTTCTACATGGCAGTTTGTATAGAGGACTAACTGTGCGAACAAACTTTTTTAGACCACTTTTTTCGACACATGATAGTGGTAAATTGTCTTTACATATCATGTAAATTAGAGCCTGAGTAATATCGATGTGTCGTTGTCCACCTTCTGAAATATCGGAGTTGTAAATAATACAATTAAGATTTACTTATTCAAAAAAGAGAAAAAAAAACAATAATATTAATTTAATCATGTTTAATAATATAAAATATCGATATTTTCATAAATTGATTAGGAAATACTACTATACGTTATGAATCATTTCTAAATTTATAACAACATAAATAATCATAAAAGTTACATATTTAAAAAGCTAGATAGAACTAGCTTATCTTCAAAGCGTGAACCTCGTTGTAAACAACTTAATAGCGTACATTGTTTCCTCTATTTTGATTCTTGAATGGTAGACTGAGCACAGTCTGAGGAATTCTCTGATACTTTTTGCGATCGATGGTAATTTTGGTCATTTGTCAAAGTAGGCTAGAAATAAAAAAAGTTATAAAAATTGATAAATAAATAGTAAATTTATAATGTACTTATTGTAAATCATCCGTTCAATTATATGAAAATTAAAGTAGCAGATATTTTATTATTTTCAAATTTTTTTTAGAAATAAAGTAGTGCATAAAAAAGTATTTTAAAAAAATTGACATGTAAAAAATTGTAAAAATTAAAACTGCTATTTTTTAAAAATGAGTTTTTGGAAGACATTTTTTTTATTAATTATAACTAAAAAATTGTGAAATGACTGCTCACTTTAATTTCATTTCAATTATTGCAAGTTTAATATGTAATCTATAAGACATACCTCAATACTAAGATCATCATCGTCGTTTGTTGATAAATTGTCTATCGTTTTGTTACCGGATTCGTTCACTTTTGATTTCTGCATTTTTTGAAATTGTAAATGAGCATTATAATGCTTTGTTTTCAGATGTGCATCTAAATTAGTAGTATTTCCGCATGTCTTGTACGTTTTACCGCACAAGTTGCATGAAGGTTGATTGTTTTCTTTTTTTGTAAAAAACTTCCATACGGCAGACATTGTTAGGTATAAAAATAACACAAAATAAAAACATCATCATAAAACGAGCCACACTAGATGATGCCACTATTTTCCACTATTAAATTGTACACAGACTGGTTAACATGCTAACAACACACTATCCAAGACATTTTTTTTGCTTACGTTTACAAACTACAGAGGCATACTACTATGGAGACTATACACGGTGTATAGTCTCCATAGATACTACGCATATACATACGTTCAGAACAAATCATTTCGAAGACAGAGGCAGCACTTATACCAAAACTCGCGCGCTTTAGTTTACGTTAATTTATACTTACATAAAACGAACACAATATTACAATTATAAGTAGAATAATTAATTATTATTATAAAATATTATAAAGCTCTTCAAAAAATATCGAATTTGATATTCGGAAATAAATATCGATTATCGATATTTCAAAATTAAAAATATCACCGATATTTATCGATTATTTTCTCAGAAAATATCGATATTTTGATAGATCGATATTTGATGCCCTTCCCTACTTTCGTCGAGAAGTAATGGGTCAGCCTGATGAAGTTGGTATGGAATCTAGTTGCATTACTGATGCAGTACGAAAGATTTCATACTAATCTTATCGGCCCTCCACATCTTTGCGTGTAGAAGAAGCATTTTCAAATATTAGTCATTTATCAATGGCATGGTAAATCGATCTGAGATTATGGTGGTGAAGTATCGTACAATTAATGTATTTACCTTTTGATACGAAAGTTTCCACAATTTTCGTTAAACATGAACTTTGCAAACAAACTACCTTAAGAAAAAAAATTCCCAATAACTCGACGAAATTTCAGAACTGTTTAGCTCATGCAATACATACTCGATAGTTTGCTACCCTGTTTAATACGGATTTAATAGAATTTGACGCCATTCTTTACTGAATCTACAGATGTCCAATGTTTATTCTTTACTTTAAGCGAAAATAAATGCTTCATCAACATACAAATCTACTTATAGAAAAAAGTGTTTTTCTACTATCATGAATATTTTTTCTGAGGATCCTTCATTAAAGCTTTTTTAATTGCCATGTTATAGGAAGCTATCATTAAGCTAAATAAATATTTGCGATTTAGATATATCATTAAACTTTAATTTTTGTATACTACACAAATTCTATAGATAAAGTAACTATCAATATACCTTTTAGTCAGACATCGGTTTCTATTCCCATACAAATCGAGTTAGGATTATTGAGGCTTGAATTGCAATTAGTTTTCATCGTAACTTCCGAATGAGCTATTAAGAATGGTTCATCAAGGTCCACCATATCTGATGAAGATTCTGACATGGAACTCTTCTTTATATGCTGGCCTTAAAAAAAAAAAGCAAACATCAATAAATGAATCAACAATAATTTTCAATGGTTTTTTAAGTTTGTATTGTAGTATTCTAACATTATGGACCACTAAATAAATAAATTTGTGATGCAGCTTTTGGACTTCATCATTTATGAGATACGTAAGTGGCATTAACTATAGTAAAATGGTAATCAGGATATATCGATAGGTTTCTGTACTCATTATTCATTTTTACGTCAGTTATTGGCGTTTGATAGTTGATTATTACTTCCTCAACAGTAAAAAACAGATTTAATGGAAATGAGGTTCATTGGATAAGTTTCATCATCTAAAAAAATAGAAAGAAATATTAATGATTAACAGAAAATGCTGGTCATTCTTCTTAAAAAAGTTATTCTCAACCAGCAACCTCTACCCATTTGGTTCAAATTCTGTGAAAATATGTTCTATAAATCAGAAAATAACTTTCCGAACATCTGACCTCGTACGGTGCAGATATATAATAATTAGGGCCAGGACTTTCGCAGTTGTTTAAATGAGCATTCATATGTTTAACCTCAAATTTGAATAAAAAAAAAAAACGCCAACTTCCTGGCCCTAATAATAATCTAGCCTTCATTCGGAAATGACAGTATTTCTTCAATTATTCGTAAATTGTTCTTTTGTTCCATTTTTGCGTGTTCGTTCACCAGGTGGCAAAGGCCTCCTCCAATCTTCTCCATTCTGATTTTTCCATGGCCACTCTACCCCATGATTTTCCCGCTACTTGTCTAATGTCATCGTCTCAACTCCTTTGTGGTCTACCTCTCTTTCTCTTTCCATCTCTTGGGTACCATTGAGTGATTATTTTTCTCCATTTATCTTTTCCTCTGATCGTGTGACCTGCCCATTTCCACTTTTGTCTTCTTGTTTTCAGAGTTACGTCCTGGACCTTAGTCTTGCTTCTGATGTTGCTGCTTTCAATTCTGTCTTTTCTTCTGATCCCGGTCATGCTTCTTTCCATGGCATGTTGGCATACGGAGAGTTTATTTGTTGTTTTTTGTTAAAGCTCATGTTTCACAACCATATGTCAACACAGGCAGGATGCATGTGTTAAATAGTTTGTTTTTCGTTGAGATGTGTAGATTATTGTCTTCCATTACTTCCCGAGTCGAAATTTGAGTTCCG